TTTTGAGTCCCACGAGCGGCTGTAACAACAGGAAGGCTGACTGGACTACTTGGAGTCCGGGAAGGGGAGCTGACCGTGCTCACAGAATGCTGCGTGTTGCCTCTGGGGATAGCGAGGGAACTGGGAGACTTGCCCCGGTCCCGCCAGGTCCTGCCCTCCGCCCAGACCCTCCAGCTTAGAGCCCCTCTAGGCCCTCTCGGGGCTCAGGTCCCTGTCCTGCCTTCCTCACCCTGGAGCCACATCTCCTCTGGATTTTCCATGCCAGGTCACATCCTTCAAGCGCTGCGCACAGGCCCCGGGGGTTGTTCGCTGCCTCCCTGTCACCTGCCCCCACCTTCCCCACCACAGCCCACCCCTGAGCACCTGGTGCCATACCAGCTCCCTCCTCTGCCCTGTTGCAGGCTGCGCAAGGTGCAAGGCGGGAGGGAAGCATCCCTGACTCGTGTTCGCAGATAGCACACCCCACGATGCTGCTTGGAAACAGGTTCTGCGTGGGCAGACTGACCTCACCAGGGGCCAGTAAGCGATTTGAAGACTTACTTTCTTTGTGTTTGGTCACAGGAACTTTCTCCTTTTTGCATTAATACCCAGTGTTCTATTTTTGAAGCCTGGAAGTGGTGGCCAGCTACAGAGAGCAGCAGGCAGGGGGCAAAATCCCACCCTGGCTCCATCCGAGAGCGGGGTGCCGAGCCAGGCCTCCGTTATCTTGGGAGCCTTTTGGATGCATTTCCTACATTCTTGAGCCATTTCCTTGCTCTCAGGCACGAGATATCCTGGGTTCATCTTGTTCTTTGCCGGCCCAGTCCTGGCCCAGCCCTCTCCCTGAGGACCCCGGTTCCCTGTGTGGGAGAATGGTCTCTTCGGATTCCAAACCCAGGGCCCGCAGGTGCTCCTCGCTGTCATGGTCTCACTGTTCCAGAGCCTTCCTTGACCAGGCGGGGGACTACTGACCCCTCTGACTGTCTGGAAAGTGTTTACACTGTGTCTCCAATTCCAACTCACCACTATAGAATTCACCTGTTTCCTCCCTTTTCAGCCCGTAACTCCCTTCTCTGACAGAAAACTGGCTCTGTGGCCCTGGGCGTGTTTCCACACCCGAGGAGTCCTTTTATGCAGGACTCCTCTGTCTGCCGTCACCGCCTCTCTTCCCTCCTCCTAGTCCTTGGGTGCTGACACCCTATAATTCAGCACCCAAATCCCAACACGGGGAGGTTCCCAAGCAGTTCTCACACCCCAGTCACATCCTGGACAGAATATCAGGTCCCATAAATTAGGGGCTCAGTCCCATAAGACCGTACACCCCACGTCCCCTTCAGAGGTAGTAAGAAAGTCCACTCATAGCCGGGCAGCGGGCCAAGCCACCCTGCTCAGGGTGTGGGACTCGCAGCAGCAGACCAGAACGGTTTACCCAGCAGCAGCCCCTGGTGACCTTGAAAGGCGGTGCCTGGGAGCCGCCAGGCGGAGGGGGTGCTCAGGACCAGGTGTGGGGGAGGCCTGGCGCTTACAGGGCCTCTCCGAGCACCCTGCTCTCCACACCGCCATGTTTACCAACCCAGGGCTCTCCAAACGGGTCGCGTTGGATTTTGATGGCGGCTTATCAGAAGCCATGAGTGATGACATCCTTACCTCCCTCCCCCCCTCAGGCAACTCCTCCCTCTCCCAGGCCTGGGTGGGACAACCGGCAAACCAGCACCCCTCAGGGGATTCCCAAGTCACCTGTTCTTAAAAAGAGAAACACCTTAAGCTTCTGCTTAGGAAATGCCAAGAATTTTAGGAGCTGTGCATGAGAATCAGACCCAGATACAGCTTTGTTCTATGAATCAGCACCACACACCCAGCCCTGCGCAGACTGTCCTGGAGCAGGACCCCATTGCAGGCTGCCTCCTCTCCCCCAAGCTCTAGTGTCCGCCGCTGCTGGCTCGGTCCCTGCCCAGCCGCCCCCCCCCCCCCCCCCGCACCGCCTGCTGCGTTGGGTGGGCGCCCTCTGCCCATGGGGCTCTGACACTGCTGGGGATGTTCCAATCCCGCCAGCAGGTCACCCCTTAGGGACATAGGCTCAGATTTTCCACCAACTGGTCCCCCTCTGTCCTCCTTAGTCCCCGGCCGGGTTCTAGTTGTGCACGCCACCTTTCCCACCTCCAAACACTGCTCTGTCGCCTCTGGGCTCCTGGCAGGTGGATGCCCTGGCCTGTGCTCTCCACTGCTGGCTCTGGACCCCACCCCAGGCGGGGGAGGGGGCCCTCAGCAGGCCTCAATATGTGATTTGTTTAAGAGGCCAGTTTGCTCCTTATTTGTGACACTGTTACCGAATGCGAATGCGGGCTCAGTTTCCCTCAGCCAAAAATGGAAACAGAGTTTGAGGGAAAAGAAAGTGGATTTATTTGTCGACAAGTGAGAAGGGCCGGAAGTGAGAAGGGCCAGACTCATGCCTGCGAGACCACCGCCCTGCCCTTTGGCAAGTCACAGGGCTAGTTATACAATGTTAAACTAAGAAAGAGGGGAGGCGGGCGAGTCTGCGGAGGGGAGGGAGTAACAGTGCTGGGATGGAGACCAGGTGGGCACCAGCCTTTATTTACACAAAGAGAAAGGAAATCGGAATCAGCAAGTGTGGGGAGGGGGCAGGGCCCGCACCGGGAGGAAGGGGCTTGGCACCAGCTTTATTGCTGTTTGCTTTTGTTTGGGCTTCCTTTCCTTGAGCCTCACCCTGTCAGGAGAAGAGAAACTGCAAGGAAAAGAGAAAGAAAAGTGAACCCACAGGCAATTAAGAGCTCTGGGGAAGCCAGTTCCCTCATAAATTTGTCAAATCCACAAATGCTTCTCTGGGCGCCCATTTACTGTATCGTTCTAACAAGATTTGGACCGAAAAATCTGAAGCTGTTAGGACAAGGACTGTGGTGTTAGCCAGCCTTCCGCCGCAGGACTGAATTTTTATTTCTCTTTTAGGGATTTCCTGTTTTGCACTGAAAGATGCCTTCCGAGTTCAATCTTGAGAAGTGAGCTGGATGAGCAGCGGGCAGTCTTCTGTCCGTTTGCAGGGGCAGGACCTTGGGTAGCGCATGAGGGTCTCAGGTTTGCAGGGGACGGAGTCTGGAGTCACTGGACTGTCTGCACCCGGCGTGTTCCTGGGCTTACACCGCCATTATTGTCATTTAAAATCATTTCTGAGGAAAACTAGATATTTCGCAGCTTCCTTTTGCTCTGGGAGCCCTTTCCTTCTGCGGCGATGGGGCTGAGATAGCAGAATGCCGTGTTCCCGCCTCAGCGCGTCTCTGACGAGTCCTTTGGGGTTTATATTTCACTAGAGCGGAAGATGTAGAAATTAGCCCTACCAATTGGTCGTTAGTAGCGTGTAATTTTCTGGGTACTTTCTCTTAATTGCAAGCTTACTTTGTGTTGACTGTTCCTGTAGCGTAGCTGGGTAAACGATCACTATATTTCACTGTGGAACGTGAGGGGCGGGCGGCCTGTCAAGAGTACGTGCGTGGCTGGAGTGAGGGTGCACAGATACGACGTGGACGCTGTGTTGTTCTGAACCCGGCTACACTTGGGGAGGCAAGATCTTATCAACGCTGCAGAGCAAGCTGGAGAGGGGCAGCCAGGTGCGTGACCACGGGGCTCACTGATGCCTCGCTGAGGTCCAGGAGTAGCCAACAAAGTAGGCTTCAGGCTCCAGGAAAATCTTGTCCAGGCCCATCGGTTGTGTAATTGAAGAGCTCAGCTGTGACATGACCTTACTTCTGGCCCCTGGGTGAAATATTTGCCCTTTGAGAACCCGTGAATCCTGTCAATAATGCCACGGTTCTGCAGCTGGGACCTCCAGACCTGGCAGACCTGCCTCCCGATCCTCTCCTGCCTTCCCCCCTTCCGCAGAATGTGCTGTGTTTAAATTCCGCTGGGACCTGCCCGGCCCCCCAGTCTTTTTTCTGAACCTCCTTTCTCATTTAAAATGGGCAGCTTAGGGACTCTGCACCCTCCTGAGAAAAACAGGAAGAGCAAGCCCCAGGTAAGTCAGGGCTTCCCTTTACTTGTGACAGTGATCCCCCCCACCCCACGACCTTTGCCTGCAGACGCCACCTTCCAGGGCTGCACTGCTGGCTCACCCCGCTGGTGTTCCCCACCCCTCATGGGATGGGTGTGGGGCTCACTCCGCGGCTCGTCCAGTTTCAGCTTCCTAGGCTGCTCTGCCCTGAGCCGGAGAACTGGACACAGCAGGTCTGCAGAGCTCCCAGGCTGTGGCCGGCTGTTTTCCGCCCTGTCCTCGGGCCAGCAGCCTGAGGACTGGAGGTGGTGGCCAGGTAGCGGCGGGAGTGTCACCACGTGTTGCGCAGAGGCGGGGACAGGGCCCTTATCTGCAAAGGGCGCCCAGCCGGTCCTGAGTCCCACGGCCAGCTAGCCAGAGATAGTGTGGAGCCAGGGAGAGAGGGAGGAAGAGAGGAAGGAGGAGCTCACGTGGACCAGGCAGAGGCAGCCAGGCAAGGTGAGAGGCCCCGGCAGCCCTTCCTGCCGGCCCCCAGGCCGCGGGAGCCGGTACAGGGAGGTGGGTTCAGGGGAGGGCCGGCTGCCGTCGGCACCCTCCAGGTCCGCTCTGGGCTCCGGCAGGGAGTGCGGGGGCGGCCCCGGCTCCGCGTCGTCTGAGGGCGTGCGTGTCACTCCTGCGCGGGCCCCTGGCGGCCGGTCCCATCCCGGGGGCCTTTATCTCTGCCCCCCTTTGTCCTCTTTATCGCAGGCGCTCCAGGAGGCGGGGGCGCTCCGCCTCTCGCCCGCCCGCCGGCTGC